CAAGATGAATCCTCCTCTTCACCTAGCTGCACTGAAGGTATCCACGGGTAAGGGGTTCCAAAATCTGCCACTTAAGTAGCAGGCCCTTTATCTGGCCTAGGGGGGTGTAGGAGTACTCGCGCTGTCCTGTCCTGTCAATGTGGTGGGTTGGTAGCTGCTTTCAGGCCTTTTGCTGGGCTGGCTCCTTCCCTGCTGCTCAGGATGTCCTCCCTAGGAGACTTTGGGCAGTGGAGATCCTCCTTTCCAGCAAGCAGCCTGTAATTAGGCTCCCCTCCCAGGCTCCACACTCCAGCCTGCTCACAATCCATCTTCCATCTGACTCTGCACACTGCTCCCCAGGCTCTGGCACATTTAAGGGTTGTCCTTGGTCACCATGCCTGGCCTCCTACCTGGGGATTGGCCAAGTTCCCTTAAATATGCAGATCTAGTCTTCCTCCCCTTCTCTGTCCCTTCTTCCAGAAAGTTCTCATGCATTTCTGGGAGGGTGAGAGGGTCCCAAAAGCCCTGACCTGTAGAGCCTTCCAGCCTGTACTGATGTAAACTCACTACTTCACACCCAGGCTGACTCATTCCAGGCTGCTACACAACCTCTAACTATCAAAAATCCTATCTAGCTTTCCTAGAGGGTGTTACAAAAATATAGCATTAAAAAAAAAAAACACTGCAACTAGGCAACTTGCATAAAAACGCATTCCAAAGCACATTGTCACCGTATGTCAATGGACACATGCAATTTGGCAAAGAGTAGTGTGTAGAGTGCAGTGGCCCACTACCAGCATTCCAAGTAACTAGACTCCAAGTAACTAGAAGTCTGACTTCTTTACTGTACTTTGCAAGTAGGGATGAACTCAAGTGTGCTTGATCCTAGTCCAAACCCACCTGAGCGATCCTGCCAGAAAGCTGTCACTGTGCTGGGCCAATGATAAGCCGCTGAGTCATTCCCTGCCCCACAGCCACATGTATATAAGAACCTTGTATACATGCCTCTGAAGGGCAGGGAATGCATTGACTGGTTATGACTGGCTCAGTACAAGTAACAGCTTCCTGGAAGGTCAGTGCCCACATTTGCCAGCACACCATGAATCATCAAGTTTCGTCTGAACTGTGACCCCAAACCTAAATTGTGGAAGCCACTCAAGCTGTAGGGATCCCAGTCAATAAAGCCAACCACTGTGAGTGTAGGCAAGGAAGGAGCTCGTTCCGGCTCCAGATGGCAATGCACAGAGAGAAAAATTTCCATCTCTGCAAACCCCAAGTAAAAAAGTGTAACAGCCTCAGCCCGGGCTCCAGCCAGGCCACACCCCAACGCATTTCAATCCACTCCACTCCACTCCAAATCTTAATTATGGGGATCACGATTAAGCTCTGGGAGTAGAGTGAAACAAATTGGGGCGTAGCCTGGCTGGAGCCCAGGCCTGGGTTGAAGCTGTTACAATTTCTTACCTGGGGTTTGTAGAGATGTGCGACTAATATGAAAATTTTCTTCCCGTAAAAATGTAAAAGGGCAAAGATAACGCCTTGTAATGGCCATGGAAACAAATGGTAATTAGCCAAAAGATTTATGATATACTGTATTTGGTTGGACTGACATTTTTAAGGTGTATGTATAGGCAAAACATTTTTAGTTTTCTTTAAAGTAGGGACCTTCCCCTACTCTATCCAGATGGAAAAAGTTGCACGTTTGCCAACATACCATGAATCATCAAGTTTCATCTGTAGCTTTTAATGAAGAAGAATGGTCACACCGCAAAGGAGCAAGTGCAACATTATAGAGCCTTGCAGAACCCCTTCACATCACATGCATGACAAAAGGGTCCTGCGTGGCTCCGAAATTTTGCCCTTGGTCCTTTGTGGTGTGATCATTCTTTATTAAATGCTTTCGATGAAATTTGATGATTTGTGGTGTGTTGGCAAACGTGCAACTTTTTCCATCTGGGTAGAATAGGGGAAGGTCCTACTTTAAAGAAAACTAAAAAAGTTTTGCCTATACATACACCTTAAAAAGGTCAGTCCAACCAAATATATCATAAAATCTTTTGGCTAATTACCATTTTTTCCATGGCCATTACAAGGCGTTACCTTTGCCCTTGTAAATTTTTTACATCACAGAACAAAATTGCAGGAGGAGGACTGGTGTAAAAAGCCAGAAGGGTAAACTCGCCCTTTAAATAAGCTTGTCTGAATAGTTTTCATTAGTGAAGAGCTAAGTGGATGCTGCATATTGTACCAGGGTCAATTGTATATTCTCTTTATGCACTGTGTTGCAAAGCAGGACAGATGTTCACATACTTTGCATTATACAAATGAGGTATGTGTGGCTGAATGGATGGCATGCATCAGCTGCCCAATGTGGTATGCCTAAGGACTAAGGTGTCCGTTTGTGAACCAGAGGTAATAGATCGCTGCTCAGTTCTCCGGCATTCTCGGAGAACAAAGTTCTCCTGTGAATGCAGTTTATGAAGCAGTTCTCCGAACGAAGGGAGAACGGCTTCCAAACGCTGGATAACGGTCTACAAACTCTGAAAAACGGCTCATTTTACTATAATCTCTCCAGATTATAGTAAAAGACCAGTTTACTAAGCAGAGGTAAATTATCTCTGCTTAGTTTTTTCGGTCCCTCTGATTCTCCAGCTCTGGGCTGGAGAATCTGGACGGAGAACACAGATCTCCAGAGAAGGGCTGACAGGATCTCCTAAGTGTTATAAACTGTGAATGACCAGAGAATAGCTGAGATCTGTTGAATCGCAGCTATTCTCTGTGTCATAAAAGGACACCTAAATAACTTGCTTGTAAAGTGTAATTTATATGATAAAGAGGCTGACATGTTGCTGTTGATAAGGTTCATATCCAGGACAGCTGGTCTGTGAGGATAAGGGTACTGAAAAGGAAACAGCAGTGCAAGGTCTTATATTATGACGAACAATAATTGACTTGTTTGCATACCTTAATCTGACTTTCACACTGGATTGAGCTGTTACAGCATTATGCTTTTACTTCATTTTATTTTGTGGAGGAGTAAAAAATGCTCTGGAATAGCCAAGAAACATAATTATGGATTAGTGGCCGAGGGAGCATAATATACTCAGGAAGGCTCATTGTAAACAGCTAGGAACACAATGCACAAAAAGCAAGCATTTATCCTTTTAATTCACTAACCTATTAATAAGAAAATAAAACCTACAGTCATTATTTTCAGTATCGAGCTAGAGACAGGGCTTATTTTTTTACTTAATAAGGTTTAGTCTTTAAATCATCAAATAGTAATACAAGCTCAATGATACAAACATTATAGATATAAAAATGCAACAGAAATATAATGTATGGATAATAGAGATCTGTGAAGTAATTCCAAAAAGATCCAGTGACATAGGTAGATAGGTAGGTAGATAGATAGATAGATAGATAGATAGATAGATAGATAGATAGATAGACATACCTCCACCACCAACACAAGACTAAATCCAGCCATACATAGACACAAATTCAGTTCAGCAGAGACCGTCCAAATTTTTATCCATGTATGGGTAGATTGGTTGTATACAAGTGGATCTATCTATCGAATTGTGTGCAATCAAATTGTTTGAAATCAGCTTGCTGGAAGATTTTCCAGTGGTGATGAATGTATGTTGATGGCAGGGAAGTCTTCCCGCTGTCACAATACAAATGCTCAGCGGAAGGCATTCTCCCCATCCACCTTGAATGTGTGGGGGAATCAAGCAATTTTCTTTTGTTCAACCCGCTAGTTGAACAAAAATAAAAAAACTACCGGTGTATGGTCGGCCTAACATACTGCCAAGAAAAAAATCTAAGATTTTCATCTTCTTCAAAGTTAGCCAGCCTTGAAAATTTTTCACATTGTTCTGGACATCTCCAACTAACATGGGTCAATTTACCTGCTGACATTGCTAACATTCCCAAAAAAGATAGAATATGTGAATTCTTGCCTTGTTATATAGTGTTGTCCCTCGGTAGTGCTCAGCCAGGCTTGGTTGGGATGTGAGAACAAAAGTAAATTCTTGTGCCGGGGCACAGTATATAAATAAATAAAAGCAGCTGGCACAATTTGCAGGCAACAAATTAGAACAAATGAAAAAGAAAGCAGTGTAGCACTACTTTGGCAACGATATGAACAGTACAATTAAACCACACCAGAATGGGGTAAAAGTGTGCAACTACCAAAAAGGATCTCAGCCAGTTCATCCACAGTCCTCATAAAAACCAGTGAGTGGTGAGTGATGTAAATCAGGCCAGGAGAGTCCTCCACCGTCAATGATCAAACATAGCTGCTTACCAGATATCCTTGACCACTAAAGGAAACGTGGTCAAAAAGTTATAACAAATGGTTATGGTCAGACTCCAGGAAGGTTCAATCCTCCGGTTCACACCACTTGCTCCACTTTCCCCAGCATCAAAATCACACCGACAACGTATTATGATGATGAAACGCGTTAGATAGAGCTTCGACATGTGACGTCATTACACACCAGAATTGATGGTGGTCATCTTGTTGGTTTGAAACAACATTTTATTGATATGCTGGTTTCCTATTAAGTTATGTAAGTGCAGTATTTTGAATATATGAGATTTTGTAGTTTACTACACTATAAGATGGTTCTGCTTTGTTTGCATGTTTGGGGAGAGACACTGCTGTTTAGTAGTGAATTGATCGATTGATGCTGGGGAAAGTTGATCAAGTGATATGAGCCAGATGATTTCAGAAAACCTCTGTATGCTCATATTTTCGAAAATGATTTATTTATTTTGGTCATGTGCGGCTCCCCTAAGCAATGATCAGTACATTCAAGGCAGCTTAAGTTATAAGCAAATCTCAATTTTTTTTTGCATTTGCAAGCTTAGCCCCAGCCCCACTCACATCTCTGCATTTTTGTCCTCAATGAGCAGTAGAGATAATCTTCAGGTTCAGGTTGAGGTTGAGTTTAAGGTGAACCCTCTCACAGCTCATGAATGCAAACTAATTCGGCACCATAGCAAACAAGTACCAGTAATAAATTTGAACCAGGGGCAGACTGACAACTCATGGGGCCCCAAGGCAATAGGGGATCATGGGGCCCTTGTGCCCTTGCCCAAACTCAAAAAATCCTATGAAAAAGGTACCAGGGGCATCTCATGGGGCCCCCTACTGACCCCGGGGTTTCAGGCAGTGCCCGAGTTTCCAAATGGTCAGTCCGCCCCTGATTTGAACTTAGATCAGGTGGCTTATAATTGCTAGTAATGGGAGCTTCATTATGTGCTATCCCTTCATTATAAAAAGGCAGGGTTTCCAGCAGCAGATTGAAAATGTGCTTGGATGGAATAGGGAAAAAATAGGGGTTGCTGCTGATAAAGTGCACAGGAAGAGATTAGTGTAAACTGGTGTCTTAAAGTAAATGCATACTCTTTATTGATGTTCTTTAGGGAGCAAATGTGTAGCTTTGGAAATGTAAATCTTAAAACTTCTTATGTGTGTCCTGCAATCTCTTTACATCCTCCCCACTTGCACTGGCTACACTTTTAACAGGCTTCCACATAGAAAAAAAATGCTGATTAAATTACCTGCAAATGACAGTCTCAACCACTATACTTTTGTTTGTAAACAAATGGCCTGGGAATTTCTTTATCTATACCAGACCCTTATCCTAGATAAAGGTCTGATATAGATGTTCATAGAGGACCTCTACATAAAAAAACAGCATGGGTTCGGCCGAACAATACATACCAGACCCTTATCCTTCATGGAGGTCTGCTATAGATGTCAAGAGCTACCTCACGCAAAAAAAAAGCAAAACAAAAAACAAATGGTATCTTTTATCCAAATTGTTTTCAGAACACCACAACTGGTCTTGTACAAACACTTTCCTTGATTTAACAATAGCATTTCAAACAGGAATTTTCACAAGAAACAAAAGCTTATTGGTACTGATATACATAATAGCACCCAAGTATCACCAACTGTTGAAGCATATATGAGGTTTTAGTGGATGGGTTTACATCTACTTTAACAGACTATTCTGTTAAGTTCTTGAATTGCAGTGCTGGGGTACACTTTCATGTGTGCCCTGCCTGTTATATTGGGTCTGTTTTTTTTTTTTTTTTAGATTCTAACTTTAAGCTTGGGGGTGATTATAGCACATCAGGCAGTTTTTGCCGAAAATCCACCCAAAACGTCTTTATTGGTATTATTTGAAAGACAAAAAAAGTAAAGAAAAAATAAGCATTCACCACACCCCCTATCTCCATAGTGTGACAGTGTAGACTTTGTTATTGTACAAATGGTCAGGAATAGGACTTGGGGTCTGCACATTTGATGAGTGCATGGTTACGAAGCATATATTTTGAGGGGAGAAAACGTCTTTTACAGCTTTCTCTAGATTTTGGTATTTCGGGATCGGGCTTCGTAGTTTGAAGATTTCAAAGTGCCTTGGGAGGCAAGAAATCTCCAACCCAGTGTGAACAACCAGCAGGGTGTGCAGAGGTGCACACAGCCCTTATAACAATGGTCTGGTGAGAGTTGCAGGTGGAGTTGGCATTGGAGCATTTGGGAAGATGTGCTCCTGTTAAGAAACCAAGACAATATCCTTGAGACAGCACTCCATGTAGGAGAGGTTCCAGATTGTGAACTGAGAGAATTGGGCCAGCTGAAAGAGTCTAGGAGACTATAGATGAGACACCTGGGAGAGAGTTTTGGGAACCAGAGGAAACCGTGAGTCTCGGAGGAGTGAGAGAGCCTGGAGGGTCAGAAGAACCCCTTCCTAGAGCCAAGCAGAGGGCCTGTGCAACAAGCTATTGCAACCAAGGCTGAGTGAGCCTTAAGACTCAGGAGGCTAGGTATTTTCTACTTTTGGCATTTTGCTGGAGAAGAACCCCTGTGTGAGAAACATTAGGTTGGTCTTTTTTTTTAGTTTTCTGCCATTTTTATAAAAGATTGCCAACAGGTCATTAAACACAGTTTCGTGTGGCATGGACTTCACTAGCACTCAGCTAACAATCCCCCAGATCACAAAAGATAAAATAAATATTAGCCATACTGTACTCTGGTTAGGCATATTAGCATTGATTAAAACTGTCCTGCTGGTGGCCAATTTTAAACTATCATATCCTTAGCAGTACTTTCCTTTTTTCCATTTAGAAACTTTGAATGCCAGTACCAAAGGTAAATAGAAAAAGTCAGTATGACTTAACAGAACAAGATTCAAATTGTTTAGCTATTTATATTGCATTCACAAAACAGTAGATTATTCAGTAACTGCCTAAAAAAACTATTTTTGTTCTTTCCATTTATCCCAACAAAAAATTTAATTTTGCCACAAGCATTATATCATTTGAGGAAAGCTCCCTAGTGCATCCTAATCAAACTCTTCATCTTCAGGCAAAGAGTAATTTCTGCTTTGACAATCAGAAAATATTATTGAGTTTTGATCTGCTTGGCCTTGTGATCAACTCGACAAAGTGACCTGGATAGAAGACCTTTTGCTTTGGCATCCAGATCCTGGAGTTCCATTTGGTTTGAATGGAACATCAGAAAAAGGCTGTCCTCCCTTTAATTAGGGAGGGTAGGTAGGGGTGGCCTTATGAGTAAAAAAATTAAATAAAAAAATAATTACACGAAAATGGTTAATAAAGTGTAAAAAAAATCTTAAAATGCAAAGAAAGTAGTGGAGGGTGGGAAAATCACTTGCTCTGAACCAGAATTTGGCTCTCAGCACTATCAAAGCTAAGGTTTTTGCCCTTTCTATCTTATTCAAAAGACTGTTAGCCTCTCACTACTTTTAATAACAGCTAATCTGTGTCACAGATCAGCCGTAAAGTAGATCTGTTACTTATGGTTCTATTAGCATGTGGTCTTTCCTTCCTTGTTGCAGCATGCTTCTTTCTAGGACTTGAAGGTATAGATGTTGCTGATACTCACCTGCTGGTTTAGATAGCAACTACAGGATAACCCCCTAGTCTGTCAATCAAGCTAACTATTTAGCTGTGCTCAGATCAACACCTATTTCCTAGTACCCATTTCTCCATTTTCTGACTTCAGCTTGTATCTGACTATGCATGCTCACAGCCCACCCTGACCTTTTGTCTGTCCCTGTTTCTTATATTGCCTGTCAACTGTGTACCAAACTTTGATTGTATTCCTGTTCAGCTATCATCTGCACAGGTGTGTCTGAAGGTCGTAACTTGGTACTCTCACCAGTAAAGTCCATCACTTCTTGTGGGGAGCTCTGTTGAAGATCTGGTGTATGTGCTTAGACTCTGTGCCCTTTCCTTTTAATGTTCATACCCTCTCTACCCTACCACAGACAGTCCACTATCTATTTTTTTCCATGACAGTCTGTATTCCAGATCATCTTCCATCAGAAGGTGTGAGTTTGAGGGCTGCAACCTGGTGCTCCCATTAGTAAAGTCCATCACTCATTGAAAGTTGCTCTGGTGAAGATCTGGTGTGCGTGCTTAGATTCTGCACCTCTTTTTCTTTAGGGATCATACTTTTTCCAATTTTTCAGATACCAAAGAGGGTCCACTATTCATTTTTCCTGTCCAGTCTAGTTCTTTCTGGCAGTCTTCTCTCTACTCACACTTACAAGGTAGTATTCCTTGTAGCCATCACCTCCATGTTTCTACTTTGTAGCAGTTTCCACCCCAGCTAACCCTTCAGCTTTCTAACCTTTTCGCTCATAGAGCTATATTTGCATTTTGCACATGTACTAAATAGTTAGTATGGTTGAAAAAAGATCAAAGTCCATCCAGTTCAACCACCAAAAAAAAAAAAGTTATAATCCTATACCCACAGTTGATCCAGAGGAAGGCTAACAAAAACCCAGCAAAGCATGATCCAATTTGCTCTTGCAGGGGAAAAGAATTCCTTCCTGATCCCCCAACAGGCAATCGGATATTCCCTGGATCAACTTTACCGCTAAATGTTAGAGAGTATATTCCAAATTTTCACAGATCTTTCTGTGAAGAAACCTTTCTGTATTTGGAGATTAAATCTCTTTTCCACCAGACTTCTGCCCCCTTGTCCTCTGTGATGACCTCAAGGTGAATAACTCTACACCGAGTTCACTATATGAACCACTGATATATTTATACATGTTGATCATATCCCCCCTTAATCTCCTCTTCTCAAGAGAGAATTAATTCAGTTCCTCTAATCTTTCCTCATAGCTGATCTCCTCCATGCCTCTTATCAGTTTGGTAGCCCTTCTCTGCACATTCTCCAGTTCCCCGATATTCTTTTTGTGAATTGGTGCCCAAAACTGAACTGCATTTTCCAGATGAGGTACTAATGATTTGTACAGGGGTAAAATGATTTCTCTCTCTCTGGAGTCTATACCTCTTTTAATACAAGAGAGGATTTTGCTCGCTTTAGAAACTGCAGCTTGGCATTGCATGCCATTATTAAGCTTGTGATCTACCAGAACTCCCAGATCCTTCTCCACCATTGATTCTTCCAGTTGTACCCCCCCCCCTCCCCAGTATGTATGATTCATGCATATTCTTAGTCCCAAGTGCATAATCTTACATTTATCAACATTAAACCTCATTTGCCCAATTAAATAGTGCATTGAGGTCAGCTTGTAAGTTGGAGATATCCTGTAAGGACGTTATTCCACTGCACAGCTTGGTGTCATCTGCAAAGACTGAAATGGGATTTTTTAATCCCAGACCCTATATCATAATTATATCAAAAAGTAAGAGTCACAACACTGAACCTTGCGGTACACCACAAACAATACAATTTTTTGTACTGTTGAATTGTTGGTGAGGGGGCGCACTGGACACCTTAGCTGCCATTGTGCTACATGCTGGGTGTCCAGTACACTCCTGTACCTCTAAGGAAGGGTGGGCTCCCTCAGGTCCCCCTGCCCTTGATCTATCCATTACATACATGTGCCTGTACTATGGGGGCTCTCAAAGTTTGTAGAGTTGGGAACTACAGAATATCGATGTGCCGTGACAAGGCTCTGTAGCTTACGCATGTTTTAGCAATTGTGTGCTAACTAATCTTGTTTTTAACGCATACTGTTAGACAGGTTAATTCAGTTTGTTTGCAGGCTGGTTGGCAAGTTAGAGCTGGGAATGTTTCTCTTTGTTTGACATGGGTGCACTACTAACAACCCTAGACCATTCAGAGTATAAATCATTAACCACTACTCTCTGAATACAATCTTTTAGCCAGTTTTCAAACCATTTACATACTGATTTTCCAAGC